GAATAGAATAGAATAGAATAGAATAGAATAGAATAGAATAGAATAGAGTAGGGTACCGTCGGGAGGGGAATGGAATGGAATAGAACAGAATAGAACAGAATAATGGAATGAAAAATTACATTTACAATAATTAAGAACTCTATAGTTGGCATCCGATATCCATTAAACAAATAGTTGACATTTATTTGTTTGTTTGTATGTTTTATCGTATCCTTATATAAGGGTTAGGCTCCTTATATATTTAAGAGGTCTAATGCTTGACTACAGTATCCAAACTCTGTAAAGGACCTTGGAGTACTCATCTCTACAATGATCTAAGTGCTAGAGCCCATTGTAACTACATAGCCAAAAAGTTATTAAGAGTTGTTAACCTAATCCTGCATAGCTTTTTCTCAGGTAATATCACACGATGAACTAGAGTATAGAAAACTTTTGCTAGACCAATACTTGAATACAGCTCATCAGTCTGGAACCCGCATTACATATCTGATATTAATACAGTGGAGAAAGTCCAGAAATATTTCACAAGAAGAGTTCTCCACTCCTCTACTCATTGCAGAATACCTTATACTACCAGACTTGAAATTCTAGACCTAGGCAACCTAGAACTATGACTCCTTTGGTCTGATCTAAGTATAGTACATAAAATTATACATTGCAATGTCCTATTTGTCAATGAATACTTCAGCTTCAACCATAACAATACAAGAGCACACAATAGATACAAACTCAAGGTAAACCGCACCAAACTTGATTGCAGGAAATACAACTTCAGCAACAGAGTGGTCAATGTCTGGAATACTCTACCTGACTCTGTGGTTTCTTCCCCAAACCCCCAAAACTTTAACCTTAGACTGTCTACTGTTGACCTCACCTCTTTCCTAAGAGGTCTGTAGGGGGCGTGCAAAAGCGTGCTAACGTGCCTAATGTCCCTGTCCTATTGTTTCTTTTTTTATTCATATCCATTTCATTTATTCATAACCATGCTTATACTTATACCTGTTATCTTATAATCGCTTGACAAAATAAATAAATAAAAATAAAACAATACTGTTATGAGTAAGAGTGCTAGATTGTAAGTATGAACCAATTGGTATATAATCATGCATCCATCTTGCATATATTTAAGATGAAAGAGAGATCAACATCTTTTAGTGGGTATTCAAAGGTTTGAATTTAATCATTATTAATTATGGTTCAAGATTGTACTATGCACAATCCTGGATTGAAATATTAATATGGGTACAGATGAGGGAATGACCTATTGTGCATATTAAAGCCGACCCCCTTTTAAACTAATCATAGCATGCAGTCACAAGAATGATGTGCAAAGCTAACATTTGGAAGCACTGAACACAAGTTTAAATATGGGAAGAACCCTGAAAAAAAAAGTGTCAGTTTTTTACAGATACTTGTGGTATCTGGAACAAATTATAAAGTAATTTCTTCTCTGTTCTCAATTTATCTCCAGCCATTTTAGATGGTAACTCCCACTTGGGAATAGGTAATACCGAACTGGATAACATACGTAGACCTCAGTGTAAAAAATTAAGCTAAAAACTTGACAGGAAGATCAGATGTTATTTTTTAATAACAGCAGAATGTAGGCACATTCAAAATTAAATTCACTTAAGATCTGCCTCTCGGTTCCGAAGTATAAAAATGCAGCATTTGGTAATTTTTTTATAGCTGTTATTTGAGGTAAGATCAGGCTGAGAGATAGCCAATGCCTGTTAATTCCCAATTAGTTTTATAGCTGAATGGGGAGTTGAAGGGGTCTCCATGTATCTAATCCAAAACTCCAATCACTATACATACTGTGACTCATTTTCCCTTTTCCCATGGGAAAAAAAACTGGAGCTTTAGAAAAATTAAAATCTTCACTGAAAACAATGCCATAAAGTTTTGTCAGAAATGGATGGGAGTGATTAGTGTTTCAGGAGTCTCATCTCTCTATATAAAAGTGAAATACCACTCACGCATAATCACAAAATCTCCAGAACCGTAAAGCCTACAAACTTGAAATTTGGCATGTATGTTCCTCTTGGCTTCTAGGTGCTCACTAAGAAAGGATTTTTCAAAATGACCATCAGAGCGTTAGTATTTCCTATATTATTATTAACACGCTCTGAGGAGTTCTACTCCCCCTCCCCCCACCTGAAAAGAAATCTCTTCCAAACGAGCAGAGGAGTTTCAGTTTCAGTTTCAGTTTCAGTTTCACAGCACCAATTGCTTTAGGTTAGGAGAGAGAAGGGGAACTCATTAGATTTGCAGATGACATCAAGATAGGGCTGAATTGCCAACACTGGAAGGTGAGTATCAAGATTTGAGCATTGAGCCCTACACGACACAGTTCAGTGGTGAGAAAACCACCGAGGCAAGAAAAATCAAATGCACAGGTATTACATTACTTAACTCACCTGTGAGAGAGAGGTGTCTGAGTAGACCATCACTTAAGTATGACACGCTGTAGCTGCCAAAAAAGTCAATGCAGCCCTAGGATGCATCAACAGTGGGAAAGCATCAAGATCATGACAAATGATAGTCCCGCTTTTACTTGTTGTGGTTTGCCGGCAGCCTCTGCAGACAGCAGCAGAATCGGACAGTGGGGAAGAACAGGGACCAGTCTGGGAGTCTGGGGAGGACTTGGACAAGGGTCATGCATCGGATGCAGAGATGGGGCCAGGACCATCTGGGAGTTGTGTGCTGACTCCGGAGCCTCCGGAGTCTGGCAGCAGCGAGGCAGAGGAACCAGGGGAGCCTGTTCCCAGTGCGCGTATGTGCAGAGCTGCCAGAAGGCAAGAGCAGCTGAGATGAAAGAGGTGACTCGGGATTAAGGCTTGGAGGTGATTGCCCCTCCCCTAAGGTATAAAGGAGGTGCAAAGATAGAGAAACCTTTGCAGGAAGCAAAGTCATTCACTCTGTTCAGATTAAACCTTGAAGCTATGTGTGGACTTTGTATTTCAGTTGTTTTTTCCTCAGTTAATTTGGTACGTTGGTTGTTGGCAACAATTCAAAGAAGAGAAAGGTGGGTGCTTATCTCGAGGGACTGTTTGGGTCTCATTATGGGCTGGGAATGAACATAATTCCCAGCGTTGAAATAAAACAAGAGTTATTTTGACTAAGCGTGTGATTAATTACGGTCTCAGGAAGTCAGAACAATACTGTCTGTACTAGTGAGGCCATACTTGGAATACTGCATCCAGTTCTGGTCACCATGATACAAAAAAAAAAATGCTGATGCCCTCGAAATTAATGCAAAGAAGAGCAACAAAGCAACTTATTTGGAGGCTAAACCATATGATGAATGGTTAAGAGAAGTAAGCAAGAAGGATTAGGGGCAACATGGAAACTATCTTCCAGCACTTGAGAGGCTGTCACAGAGAAGAAGAGGTTGACCTATTCTCCCAAACACTTAAGTGTAGGACAAGAAGTAACAGGTAGAAGATCATTAAAGAGATCCAACCTAGAAGTAGGGAGAAGTTTCCTGACAGTGAGAATAATCAACCAGCTTGCCTCCAGAGATTGTGGTTGCTCCATCACTGGAGGATTTCAAGAAGACATTGGACAACCATTTGTCCGGAATGATATACGGACTTCTGTTTGAACCGGGGGTTAGACTAGAAGACCTCCAAGGTCCCATCCAACCCTGTTATTTTAATGTGTTATTGTGATCCAATCTAGATTAATTTAACCTCCCCAAGATTCAACAGTACACTAATGATAGAAGAAGCCAACATAAAATGGGGTGTTCACATTGCAGCCCTGGTCAAAAGGGCCCAGCAGAGATTATATACTACCTGAGACTTCTCAGAAAGCGACAACTGAATGAAAAACTGCTGGTGACCTTCTACCGCTGCACCATAGAGAGTATCTTAACTTATTGCACCTCTGTATGGTTTGCCAATTGCACAGGGGCAGATAGGAAAGCACTCCAGAGGGTTAACATCACTACCCAGAAGATCATTGGTTGCCCTCTCCCCTCTTTGGAAGAGCTTTATAGCTCCTGCTGCCTTAAGAAAGTTCAAAACATCCTTAAAGATCCATCTCATCCTGGGCACCTTTTTTTTTTTAACTATTACCATCTGGCAGATGGTACAGGATAATAAAAACAAGGACAGATAGGCTGAAAAACAGCTTCTCTCCCAGGGCAGTCGCTCTTTTGAATTCTGCTATATAGTGCAATATTAATGCAATATCAGGCGTTTTCAATTCAATGTATAGAATGTAAAGGTTGTGTGTTTTTGTTTTATTTTTATAGTTTTCTGAAGTATAATGTACACTGAAGATGGCTTTTAATTGCGTTGTACGAGGTGCAATGACACTAAACTAAACAACTAAACTAAACCCTCTTCCAGCCAAATGCATTTTAAAAAGTTATATAATAAAAGACTGTAAAATGAAGTTGCTTTGAGCTGAGCGAGATGGAACCCCCATCTCAAAGTATACTCCGAACTGATATGCAATCACCTGTCTTTATTCGGCCATCTCTGCTGATGACTCCACCGGGTTCAACACTTAAAACATAAATAGGTAGATTCCATTCTCTGTGAGAAGATAGTCCTCCTGCCACCGTCATCCCCAGAGACTCTAGATTATCCTTTCGGACAATGACCACTTTTTCGTGACAGGTAACTGCATGGAGGACACTCTGCAAAGGACGAAGAGCAAACATAAATTCAGTCACTGGGCAAAGACTTACATAGTGCTTCACAGCGCTTTACAGCCCTCTCTAAGTGGTTTATAGAGTCAGCCTCTTCCCCCCCAAAATCTAGGTCCTCATCTTACCAACCTCAGAAGAACGGAAGTCTGAGTCAACCTTGAGCCTGGTGAGATTCAATCTGCCAAATTGCAGGCAGCCGGCAGTCAGCAGAAATAGCCTGCAGTACCGCACTCTAACCACTGCGCCACCATGGCTCATAAATGGAACCAGTTTATCATTCATTCATTTCTTGTTCCATTGTACACATTCTTAACGCACTTTCCTTCACTATCCCCAGTGATGGGATCCAGCCAGTTCGCACCACTTCAGGAGAACTGGTTGTTAACTTTCTGAGCAGTTTGACGAACTAGTTGTTGGAATAAATCATTAGGGTGGAGAAACGGTTGTTAAATTATTTGAATCCCACCAGTGAATACAAAGTTTTAATTATCTGAAGCTCGTCTGTCAACCATTGGAATTTTGTGTTCCTCAGCACTAAGGCCTGTGTCTTTGAACATTGCAAGATAGATGGGGGATGGATAGAGATAGATAGATAGACAGACAGACAGACAGATATACCAATGTGATAAATATTGCAAAATGCGTGTGCGTGTGTGTGTGTGTATACGCACACATACATATAAATACATACATACATTTATTGCAATATCTATCTATCTATCTATCTATCTATCTATCTATCTATCTATCTATCTATCTATCATCTATCATCTATCTATCATCTACCTATCTACCTATCATTTATCATCTATCATCTATCTTGCAATGTTTAAAGGCAGCCATCGGCCTCCCAGACAGCCATCAACATGTTAAACTAAATTTCTGCCAATATTTACCTAACAGGAGGCAATCTATTGGGATCTCCCTACGCATGGAACCCCCACAGTAATGTTATAGGCCTAGATGGAATTGGTTCTTTTAAAAATATCACCGTAAAGAACATTTCCTCGTAACTAAAGGCCTTGGTTATCAGTAACAAAGACTAAGTACAGAATACATTTCAATTTCTTCTACTCTCTCCCATTGTCCCCTCATTCCCTGCTTAAATGTTGTTTTATATCTAAAAGGAAAGAAGGAAACCCATTCACCAGCATTCCTTTTGAGCCTTTATGATCGCTTGGCATTTATTGCAGCCTAAATGAGAAATTGTTCCTGACGTAGCTTTTAAGAGAAACTTCTAAAAGGTTTTGTTCATGACCTAAGGAGAAATCGGTATTTTCCTCCTCCTCTTAACAAAACGAAGTTGCTGACAGCAAATCAGTCTTGAATAGATCAACAACTTCATCTTCTTCGAGGAAGGATTTTTTAAGAATAGTCTACTTTAGTGAGACAGAGGAAACAGAATTTGCATGCTTAGGTTCAAAAGTTCGCTGACTTGCAAAAAAAGACATTTCCTTTCGAACCAGCACACTTGCCAGCGAGGAAAAAAAAAATCACAAAAATAGAAATGAAGATTATTTTTATTGCTAAGGGGGTGAAGGAATGGTTTCCTGGCTTATAAAAAAAGGGACATAGAATCCTTCCCCAACAAGGAGCATCTGCAGAGTGTAGTGAAAAACGCCAGGATGGTCGGTCACAATAGCGCAGTCAAAACGCTGCTGGTGTTTTACGTGTAACGCACAGGACAGGCATGGATTTGATTGTGCTGATGCGACCACCATCTTGACTTGTTTTGACCACACCTTGCAAACATGCCTGTTCCACAAGGATCTGGGATATATAAGAATCCAAGAGGACTCGGGCTTTTCTTTTGCCAGAAGCTAAATGTCTGAAACTCTAGATTTTTGTAATTTTTTCCCTTGCAAAAAGGTATCTTGAATCTTTAGAAAGCTATCCAATATATTTTGGCAGTTACAGAGATCCTAGCTTCATGAAATTTTCTGAAGGGGTATATTGGTTTTATTGAGAGACAGAGAGAGAAAGAGAGTGAGGGAGAGAGAGGGAGAGGGAGGGAGAGAGACACACACACAGAGAGAAAGAGTGAGGGAGAGAGGGAGGGTGAGGGAGAGAGAGAGGGAGTAAGGGAGTGAGGGAGAGGGTGGAAGAGAGACAGAGTGAGGGAGAGAGAGAGAGAAAGTAAGGGAGAGAGGGAGAGAGAGGGAGAGTGACAGAGAGGGGGAGAGAGGAGAGAGAGACAGAGAGAGAAAGAGTGAGGGAGAGAGACAGAGTAAGGGAGAGAGGGAGAGAGACAACACAGAAAAAGAGTGAGGGAGAGGGAGTGGGAGAGAGAGGGAGGGAGGGGAGAGAGAGGAGAGAGAGAAAGAGTGAGGGAGAGGGACTGAGGGAGAGAAAGAGGGAGAGAGACACAGAAAAAGAGAGAGAGAGAGAGAGAGAGGGAGAGGGAGAGGGAGGGAGGGGGAGAGAGGAGAGAGAGAGACAGAGAAAGAGTGAGGGAGAGAGGGAGAGTGAGGGAGAGACGGAGTGAGGGAGAGAGAGGGAAGGGGAGAGAGCGGGAGAGAGGGAGGGGGAGAGAGGGAGAGAGGGAGGGGGAGAGAGAGGGAGAGGGAGAGGGAAGGAGAGAGACGGAGTGAGGGAGAGAGAGGGAGAGGGCAAGAGAGGGCGTGGGAGAGAGAGGGAGAGTGAAGGAGAGAGATGCAGTGAGGGAGAGAGAGGGAGGCGAAGAGACAGAAAGAGTGAGGGAGAGTGAGGGAGAGGAAATGAGGGAGAGAGAGGGAGGGAGGGAGAGAGGGAGCAAGGGAGAGAGAGGGAGAGTGAGGGGAGAAAGAGGGAGTGAGGGAGAGAGAGAGGGAGGGAGGTTGAGAGAGGGAGAGGGAGAAGGAAAGAGAGAGATATTCCCTCATGGGCTACTACATATGGAGAAATGTTCTTCATTTGCTCTTCACATATGCATTACCAATTGGCTGTGAGGCAAATCTGACAAGCAGCCATATTGGTCAGCTTTAGTCTTAGCCGTTATTTTACTCCAAATCAACTTTTTTTAAAAAAAGCACACTGGATTAATCAACATGTTTTATGGCTCTGTGTGTGAGACCTGTGTGGGTAAAGGTAATCCTCGAGTTATGACACACAACACAGCCCAACATTCCTGTTGCTAAGCGAAACATTTGTTAAGTGAGTTTTGCCCCAGTTGGCAGGTTTGCTTGCCACCGTTGTTAAGTCACCCATCCTAAAAATGAATCCGTTACCAAGCATCTGAAATTTGATCACATAACCCATGGGGGATGCTGCGTTGGTTGTAAGTGTGAAAAACAGTCATAAGTCCCCTTTTTTCAGGGCCGTTGTAACTTTGAACGATCACTAAATGAACTGTTGTAAGTCAGGGACTACCTGTATTTTTTCGTATAAATATAGGGCTCCAAAGTTCTCTTTCGTAATTTCCATTTCCGCACGTAATGTCCATTTCTGCTGTGAAACTTGGTCATCATCTTTTCCGCAATGATACGGCGGGGATAATCAGTGGTGGGATTCACATTTCTTTTACTACCAGTTCTGTGGGCGTGGCTTGGTGGGCATGGCATGACTTGGTGGGTGTGGCAAGGGAAGCAGGGAAGGGCCAACCTGCAGTGCCTCTGCCAGAAAAAAAAATGAGCTTGCGAGGGCTGGTTGGAGCTTTCTCTGACCTCCATTTTCAACCACGATGGCCTGCAACCCTCCACCAGCAAAAATGGACGCCTGGGCTCCATTTTCACTGGCAAAAGGCTGCAGGAGGAAGTCGTGGCCAAAAACAGAGCCTGGGTGGCAGTGGTAGGATTCAAATTTTTTTTACTACTGGTTCTGTCGGCGTGGCTTGGTGAGCATGGCAAGGGAAGGATACTATAAAATGTCCATTCCTTCCCCACCCCACTAACCTGCTTTCCAGCTCCTTTCTCCTGTGCAGGGCAACCAAAGAAGACCCAGCCAATCAGCTGGGACTCTGGTGGGGGGAGAAGAGATGGGGGCGGGGCCAGTCAGAGGTGGGATTTGCCGGTTTTCCGAACTACTCAAAACGTCTGTTACTGGTTCTCCAGAACTGGTCAGAACCTGCTGAAAACCACCTCTGGAGTTTCTCCTAAGTTTCCTGATCTTTGGCACTGGATAAGCCAATATTTACAATTGTCCCTGGCTTCATAGCCAAGTTCTTTCCTCATAGAGGCAGGATGTCATGGGTTCTCACCGCCAAAAGGGACAGCTGAACCACTTTATAATAACAAATGATGTTGAAGGCTAAAGCTTATTCTTGGCACTGGATATTTAGAGACTTGAAAGCAATATTGGCCCCACGTTTCCATCTGTGTTCTAGAAATTTCTCATCAGAGAGTTGACTCTCAAAGTAAGAAAGTGGGTGGGGGAAAATGGGGATGTTTAAAATCAAATTATCCTACAGAGTAGAAATATTTAAACGTGATAACAGCCTGTATAAGAACCTGGATGATTGTGCAAGCAATTGCTTTTTGCCTCTCTCTCACACAGGTGTAAAATCCCTAAGTATATAGGGCAGCAATTTGATTTGGACATCTCCAAAACTCTATACAATTGGGATAACAGCTATTGCACAACAACTGTGAAATAAGCCTCTTCAAAGGAACACACACTCAAGCAATTTTTAAAAGGACAGACAGAGATTTTGTTCTTGCAATAGTGTAAAGGAAATAATTCATGCATGAAGAGATTCACTGAAATGAGTCCAGCAGGAATCAGAAAATATACATGAGCAGAGAGCTGGGTAAAAATTTCGAAGCAACTTTAGAAGCCCTTTTCAGATTCATTCATCATTTTGTTTAGCAGTTGTCTAGTCCTTTTATTTATGTTTTAGGCATTATCTCTACAGTATGCACAATTTGTATGCAAGACATGCCAAAAAGCTAAAACCTCCAACACTCCCTGGTTTATTCATCTGTATTCTGCCTTGTACTTCTGATATACTGAATATTTAAAATCTGAGTTGATGGAATTTTCTGCAGCTTTTTAATATGCGGATTGGGCTTTATGTTTTAAAGCTATTAACTGGTTGTGAGAAATATTTAACCATGAACAAGATATAGATAGATAGATAGATAGATAGATAGAAAGATAGATAGATGGAGAGAGAAAGAGAAAGAGAGAGAATCTAAACTCTAAACTGAGAGTTAAAATTTGTCTAAGAGATGTAATGCTACATCTTGTTTTAAAGTGATTTTATGTTAAAAAAAAGATAATTGCAGGTGTCAGTGTTCCGTTGTTGAAAGGGAAAATGGGAAGACCAGACAAGAAAACCTTAGACAAGTTGGATTACTACTGCAACCTCATCCCAATTTGTCACACTTAAAATACCAGAATGAATTTAGTACTGGGAACTGTAGTATAAGATCCAACTCTGGAGTCTTTTAACTGGAATTATTATTTAGAACCCCAAAATAGGGACTGTAACAGGGACACTAAAGAATTTGAGCTTTTCATGCTTCTGCTGATACAGGGCATCCTTTAGATGCTGTAAAAAATGGGGGAAACAGAATAATTTCCTTTTCCTTTTTCTTCAGCTCTGCTTTCTCATCTACTGTGCTCATCCTTCTCCTCATTCAGAAATCAAGAGTACTTCCTCAAGGTATATAAACAACTGCAAAACTAAAATGCATTGTTTCAGACAATGCTTTCCAGAGGTGATAATTAGAAACATTAATATGTTAGTCAGACCTCATCAGAACCCATTTTATTACTTTTTGTTACTTATTTGTAACTCCAGACTTGATTGCAGAAAGTCTGACTTCAGCAACAGAGTGGTCAATGTCTGGAATGCGCTACCTGACTCTGTTGTTACATCCTCTAACCCCCAATTCCTTTAACCTCAAACTGTCCACTATTGACCTCACCCCATTCCTAAGAGGTCTGTAAGGGGCGTGCATTGTGCCTACCATTCCTGTCCTATTGTCCCCATTTACTCTGCTAAACAAATAATTCCCTCAGCACTGTCCAACTATTTACAAAGTCTGCACGACTATTACTATTAATCTTCTCATCACTCCTTATCACTCACCCCTTCCCACTTATGACTGTATGACTGTAACTTTGTCGCTTGTATCCTTACGATTTATATTGACGGTTTCCTAGTATGATTTGACTGCTTATTATACCTTATGACCAGGGATGGGATTCAAATGTTTTAACAACCGGTTCTGTGGGGATGGCTTAGGTGGTGGGCGTGGCTTGGTGGTCATGTGACTGGGTGGCTGTGGCTTGGTGGTCATGTTATTGGCTGGGTGTGACCAACTCAACATCACTCACATCAAGGCACACATCTCCTCGCCTGGTATCTCATGACTGTGGGGATGCTGCAACAGTCATAAGTGTGAAAAATGGTCATAAGTCACTTTTTTCAGTGCCATTGTAACTTTGAATGGTCACTCCACACAAGCAAAGTACCAGCAAAGGAGCGGGGAAAAAACTCCAGAGAAGTTCCTGAGACAGGAAGTCTAGTCCTGCCAAGAATGTAATAAGGGTTAACGGAGAGGCAGTTTCTGTAAGCAACACCAGAATGTTTCCTTCCTGTCTTCCTTACAGGATTAGGCCAGTAATTTCTTCTAACAACTGGTTCTCCGAACTACTTAGAATGTTAACAACCAGTTCTAGCGAATAGGTGCAAACTGGTAGAATCCCACACGTGCCTATGACTATTATTAAGTGTTGTACCTGATGATCCTTGACTCTAGACGAATGTATCTTTTCTTTTATGGACACTGAGAGCATTTGCACCAAGACAAATTCCTTGTATATCCAATCACACTTGACCAATCAAGAATTCTATTCTATTCTATTCTATTCTATTCTATTCTATTCTATTCTAT